ATTGAATTTCATATCCCCACGTAAGGAGAGTAAGAAGAAACGCAATCGTTGTAGCTTTGACAAACTGCATTAAGTTTGTCGACCGAGACTTTGATTTGTTCACATATGTAACGGTAATTAACACGGATAATTAATAGACTAACGCCAACGTTCGACAATCGTACTTATGCGAACAGCTAATTGCTTATGAAAATATTTACACACAGTTGAGCACATAATGGCTCGTAAAAATGAAGAAGAAAGTCACAGTTCGCAAACTTTGATTTCATTTTAGGGAATTCATACACAACGTAGTTGAAATCTATTGACAAGCCTAAATAACATTATTAATCTATTACACGTATATACATATGTTATAAATATATATATATATATAACAAATAGCCTTTTATCGTTTTTAACTGATACTTGTTAATGTATACGATTTGAATATTCAAACAAGTATATAATTTTATATATATAATTTAAGTGTTAATTTATACAAAATTGTATATATGTATGTATATATGTGTATATATATGTATATAATTGTATATATATGTATATATATGTATATATATGTATATAATTGTATATAATTGTATATATATGTATATAATTGTATATATATGTAATTGTGTATATATGTGTATATATGTATATATATGTAATTGTGTATATATATGTATAATGTATATATATGTAATTGTGTATATATATGTATATATGTATATATATGTAATTGTGTATATATATGTATATATATAAAGTATATAATTTTATAATATCGTTAAAATTACAAAGATATGTTTCACGCAATTAAAAATGTAACTCAACTTTGAAAGAAATGTCATTAATTAATTTAATGACATTTTTAATTAAATTTCATGTTGAATGGTTCCGAACACGCTTACGTCAGATGTGGAGGCGTTTCGAAGATTTCAAGACTTCTATTTTTTGAAATGGAATCATTAATTTTTTTTTTAGCAAAACTTACGTTTAGGGGAGACGCTTCCAACGACCTTGACTTTCACTTTCTATGTTGTCAAGAAACTCTTTCCTTAGATACTCCCTCCCTCAAGTTTTAGTCGTTGCTCGTTTTTTATTGAAAAGTTATTAACAAAAAAGAATCGCAGAATACGGCAGTTATTTTGCGATAAAGTTGATATATATCGTAATGTTTGGTCAATATTTAATAAAACGTTCGTGTGAAATCTGAAAACATGGCGGGGAGGGGAGCGCCACCATCTCGAATTAAATAAATCTCGTCTAACTTGTCTTGTAATTAAATTCAGAGTAGAACAGTTCGAATCATCCAGGAGATATATTAGATCAGATTTGGCTCCATTATTTCTGGGTGGAGATGCAGGTTTCACAAAAAAAATTTCAATCAGTAATAACTAAATATCGACTTTGTTGCAAAAATCAATCTCCTTTCGGGGCTTGTTTTTAATAATTAATAACTCTTTGAGAAATAACGAGAGACAGTTAAAAACCTCTTGGGAATTACTCAGGGGAGTGTTCTTGACGACATTTGTGAAGGTCAAGGTCACCGGGGCCGCCTTTCCTAAACGCAAGTTTTACCATTCGTTTTTACAATCGGACGCGTCCTTTTATTTGCTGCAAGAAATATTAAAACACCTAAGTTAAAAATTCGTCAATTTCAAGAGTATCGTAACTTTAATTTCGTAAAATTTCTTGTACGAAAGATGTGTTTCTGTTGTTTTGCACAACTGTTGTACTTTCGAGAAAAGTACATCGTGCAGAGTGCGTGCAGCTTTATTTTTGGAAAGTCAAAAACCGAGTAATTAACAACTAGAAAAAAAAGTAGTGAAATGTAAACGGCACTTTGATGTCGTAACACGTACATATATGCACATATATATATATATATATCTTAGCTATTATTACTTCCTGATTAAAGCCAAAGGGTACACTATGTATCTTACATAAGGTGTCTTAATTACTAGAGATTACTACAGACGTCTTGGCCAAAGTGAAATCTTATCATATATTCTTATATACACGTTAGAAAAGATCAATTCCTCTTTTTTTTATGTATATCTTGCGTTAATGAATAAATACTATTTTATTCTAGGAAAATTCACTTTTAAACGTTAAGGAAACATGTATGTAATAACTGTATGTATGTAATAACTTAAAAAGTATACAGTCGATAAAAGACAAAAAAAAGAAACTAGCGTTTCACTGAAAATACAAATAGTCAAAAATATACCTTTCGTTAGCGTTACGATATTTCAAACGTAATAATTCGCAGAAATTCAAAACAACGAACAAATTAAAACATCCTCAGAGATAACATTGAAATAAAGAAACGATAATAAATTGTAGGAAACAGTTTACTTTATTTTTATACCATCAAATGCGTATGAGCATTTACCTTGATTTACGATGCGTTGCACTAGAGATGTCTAAAAATTTGTCGCCAGCGATGTCGTTAATTTGCGTAATAATTGTTCCTGCTATGGCCAAGAGAAGCGATCGTTCCCCGATAAATGGTTAGCTGCTGCAGTAATGAAATCGTTAATATAAAATAACGTTTCACTAATTATTCACGCCGAACGAATTTTCCACCACTAAACTCTGTACACTGCCGATAAACAGATAATGCCGGCACAGTATGTATAGTTCCCTCGTTCTCCCGGAGATCGAAACTGTTAAGTACTAAATTGAGATGTTCTCAAAAGAAACGATTGCAAAAATGAGAGAGAACTTCTCGCATATTCTCTCGCCTGTCAATCAAAAATTGAAGTACCACCAACATTTACGATTTATGATAAGTACTTCGTACAGCCAGCGTTGAGGTTAGGTTTTGCATTAAGTACCAAGGGATCATATGGGCCGTAAAACGACGTTGGTAGCAATCCTGTGATTAGCTCTAACACCGTACTTTTTTCTCATTGAGCTGCACACGGTTCCTTGCCAGTTATTCTTGCGTTTCGAGCACGTATCAATGTAAACAATCAATAAGACGTTCGGTAATTAGCAAGATGCCAGAGTTTGTCCAACGAATCCGACGACGTTACAGCTGGTCAAAGGCTGTTATATTCGTTTCATCAAATCGAATTCATCATCGGGAAATTTTTATGGAGGCCCGTTTATAGAAAAGCATTCCGAATCGTCCTCGTCATTTATCGACAAGGCGAACTCAGGAGCAATGATGGAGAAATTTATCGAGAAATCCACGAATTTTTCTTCTCCGAGATACTCCTCGACCGGTATCGACCGGCGCGTGTTCTCCGGAAATTTTTATTGCGCCAAGAAACGCACACGAATATGTGCATATGTTGAATTTGATCTCTTGCAATGGCGAGCTTTCGTCATCTCCTTGTTTCTTCGCCACGGCTGCAATGACTCTTTGCTGCTCTTTCGTACTCGGGGAACAATACGTACGCACTCGTGCAATAATGCCGCGAGAGAAGTTCGAATGCAATCGATACAGCGAGTACCTGACTCCTTTTCAGATTGTCACTCGGCGATAATACGTCGAATGACACTTAACCTAAGCGCGTCGTAAAAATGCGAACCGCACCACTGTCGTCGTATCGTGCGTTCAGGGTATTCCTCGGAGCTTTGGTTGCACCTCGACGTGTGTAAGTTTTAACTTGTCGAAACTTAAGCTTCAGTTGTAAGTAAATGGTAAGTAACGAATGTCGTCGATCTTCTGTATCCGTTTTCACCGTAGGAGATGATTCGTCACCGGGGAACTTCTCGCCAACGACTACTCCATTCTTGTGAATACGTCGACTACGCGTATTTACACCGGACGGATGAACAAACCACAAAATAAGGATACTTTTCGTCGGATAGCCGAGGCTATGGTGCCGCGTTGTAGGCCATAAAGCGGCCGGCACGCAAGAAACCGGTGGCAGTCTCAAAAACCGTACACCCCCAATCACACATCTTTCTTGGAGCCCTGGCGAGAGCCAACTGCTCCGCGCGCTTGTATGCCAACATTCAAGGCGGTCCCACAAGTGACCAGCTGACCGAACAAACTGCTCGGACGTTTAATATCTGCACCAGCTCGATCAACCGCTACGCTCCGTGCGAGCATGCTCGTCGAAATTAAATGTAAACTCTCTTGAATTCTGAATGCACATGCTGCTAACAAGAACAATTCGTGGCAATCCAGGAAAATTCAACAGGAAAAGAGCAAACCAGAGAGAAGAAACAGCAATCGTATTTCCCCTTTCCGTCTTTAATTGTAATCACTACTTCGTAGTATTAAACTTTCAACTGAACCGACAGAGGGCACTACCGACTGCGATCGTTGCGCGAACACTTTTGATCATTAATATACATTGCTTAATCAAACAAAAGATGAAATTTTCTTGATTGATTTTTAAATATAGAAATGTTCGCGAAAGATTAACGAAAAATATCTGTGATTAATGTGTGGTTAAAAACCACCGTAGTTAATTGTTCATATGTTACACTTAGTTACATGTATAATATATTCTTCAATTGACGAATTAACAGCTTGTCTGTACATTAAAAAGATTGGATATAATATATGTATAAATTACATACATTTCATAGGATCAATTTTGCTAAATTTTAGGATCTACCAATACTAGTTTGCGATAAATGATAGAAATATTTAAATTACAAATGTATTTGCAATTACGAAAGCATATCTTATTTTAATAAAACATAGTATTTACATTGTTTTAATATTTGAAAAATCCTTTACTAAAATTAAAAAGTGAAAATAAAAAAATGAAATTTTACTTTTATTCTTTTTTAATTATTTTAATACTTTAAAGGAAGTTGTTTTTTCAGCGGAAATTTTTAGAAAATTCTATGTCTATTATTATATTTTATTGTCATTTTTAACAGTTTTGTATTATTATTAGAATACAAAAATTAAAAAATTTCAAATGAATCAAAATATGAAGTAGTATTTTAATTTTTACTATCTTAATAATAGTAAAATAAAATAAAAATAAAACGTCTGGTAAAAATAAAATATATATTTTTTGTTTTATTATCTCTTTATTAACTGTCGTCAATATTACGTCAGAAAACTTTTCTTACATACGTGGAATAACGTGCAAATTTTTACATACGTGGAGTAACGTACAAATTCTTACATACGTGGAATAACGTATCCATAACGCGCACGTATTCATGTTGGGTCTCAATATTATTGTACACATATGTATATGATAATTTAAAAGAAAGAGAAATTCTATTTTTTACAATATTTCCTGTAAGGTATTTATTGTTTTTAATATTTCAGTTGAGTGTTTGTAAATACTTTAATTTTCCCATACAAGATGTTTCAGTTATACAATAATAATAATAATTTGTTATAGGCCAATACATTTAGAAAATAGAAGAAAATGTGTGGAATTTGGGCTGTCTTTGGCTTAGATGTACCATCTTTAACTCATATTTGCAGAAACTTTGAGCAGATAACACATCGTGGTCCAGAAGCATTCAAACTTGAATTTGACCAAGCAGTTAAAGTATGATTTCATTAAAACTTTTCAAGCAAATATATATATATTTACTTATATAATATATTATAAAAAATTAATATAATCTTTTTTGTAGAATGGTTACCTTGGGTTTCATAGATTAGCAATTGTTGACAACCTTCAAGGAATGCAACCAATGAGGCTTTATCAATACCCACATTTATTTTTGTTATGTAATGGTGAAATTTATAATTACCAGAAAGTAAGATTTCAAGAAAAAAAGGATATTTAAATATTATTTTATTTTTTTTTAGATAACTGTTTTATTTATTACATAATAAATTATATAATAAACTTTATAGCTTGGTATGGAACATGGATTTACATATACCACTCACTGCGACATAGAGGTGATAATACATTTATATGTACATCTTGGTAGTGAAAATGTGGCAAAAATGCTCGATGGTGTTTTTGCATTTTGTTTAATGGACATTAAAAGTAGAAGAATTCTTATTGGTAGAGATCCCTATGGTGTTAGACCTCTTTTCCAATTACAGTCTGATGATGGACAACTTGGAATTTGTTCAGAAAGCAAAGTAACAAATCAAATGTAGTTTATTTCAATGCAAAATAAGCATTTATTATAACAAAAATTTTTGTTTAGGGACTTATGGATATAACTAAACAAATAACATCAAAATGGGTACTGAAACCATTTCAACCAGGAAGTTATGAAGAGTATGAAATTTTAAATGATGGTAGAACGAAATTATTAATAAAAGAAAATTATTATCAACCTGGAGACAAGGCTCATTTTTCAGCATTTGTTCCTTATAACAGTTTGTTCAAACATGTAATATTGTAATATTTAAACTTTAAATGAAGAAAATAATCTAATAGAGTATGTTTCAGATTTGAGTAGCACAGATATGCATGGAAATATAAGAAAATTACTTTCAGCTGCTGTGAAAAAAAGATTAATGACTGACAGAGAAGTTGGTTGTTTATTATCAGGTGGTTTGGATTCCAGTTTAATTGCTGCTTTGCTCGTAAAACATGCAAAGGAGGCAAATTTACCATACAAAATAAAAAGTTTTGCAATTGGTATGGGAGACAGTCCAGATATTATTGCAGCTAGACAGGTTGAAAATTACTTTTTTATACAATGATGCCTCCTTTTTTACTCAAAATTAAACATAACAACATTCATTAGGTCGCAGAACATATAGGAACAGAACATCATGAAGTAATATTTTCCGAAAACGATGTAGTTGATATTTTGGATAAACTCATTTATCAATTAGAGACCTGTGATATTACTACAATTCGAGCTTCTATTGGGTAAGTTATATTCTACAAACATTTTAATTTTATGAATAAATAATCTGTACATATTTAGAAATATTTATTTTCATTTCAGTATGTATCTTATTTCAAGATACATAAAAAATAACACAAAAACAACTGTAATATTTAGTGGAGAAGGCGCAGATGAATTGGCACAAGGATATATTTATTTTAGAGATGCACCAAATGCAACAGAGGCTCACAATGAATCTGTTCGATTATTAAAAGATATCTATTTATATGATAGCTTAAGAGCAGATAGAACAACTAGTGCATTTAGTTTGGAGTTACGAGTGCCATTCTTAGATATTCAATTCACAAATTATTTCCTATCCTTAGATGCTGCTTCTAGACAACCTCAAGGTATGGTCTTATAAAATAATTATAACGTCATTATTTTATAAGAAAATTTTCATTATTAAATTTAAATATGTATATATATATATATATATATGTATGTATATATATATATGTGTGTGTGTGTGTGTGTGTGTGTGTATATATATATATA